TCTAGGGTTCACAGCACCAGAAGTTTTTGGGATTTGGGGGCAGGCTGTTCTCAGTGGACAGAGCAATTCTAGGCACCCTAGTCTATACCCCTCCCCTGGACTCCATATCCTGGTCCACAGTTTCAGAAGAAAACTTTGGCTTTACCAAAAGCCAGGCTGTATCTTCAACCCTCTTGTCTCAATAACCCCAGCAGGTACATCTCCCTGGACCTGAATACACACTAGTCCCCAGAACCCTTAGGTCAGCAGACCAGAGAGGAAACTGAGTCCAAGTGACCAAACACCCATCTAACAGAGATAACTGCAGGAATCAACACCTAGATCTATAACCATCCCAAATCCAGATGCTTAAATGACAATGTAAGTGTACAAACAACAACAACCAGGGCAATATGGTATCAGCAGTGTCCAGTTACCCACAACAGCAAGACCTGAATAACCCAACACAGCTGAAGCAGAAGAAAATGACCTCAAAATGACTTTATGAAGATGATAGAGGTCCTTAGAGAAGACATGAACCAATCTCTATAGAAATTGAGGAAAAGACAAACAAAAAATTGATGCGGACAATAAACCCCCAAAAGAAAGACAAGAAAAAAAAACAAATATTGTAACCTATGCTTGATCATTGGTACTTTTTAAATATACTTTTATTTTTAATTTAATTTTTGAGATATTCAAAATTATATTCTGTCAAGTTGAATTAAAAAACCCATGTATACACTTGCATTATCTACTCCATTTATTACATAGATTTAAAACAAGTTTTGGATACATCTTGTTAACTGAACATATCTTTTTCGCTGTCTGTTGCCTCTTACTTGTGCTCTGTAAAATCAGAATGGTTTTCTCTGTCTCTCTGTCTGATTCAATATATCTTTGGTCTTTTGCAGCTAATATTGGTGGTGGTGACTGGGGTTTGTATGTTTATGTGTTGCTGTTTCTTTTTTTTTTTTGAGACAGGGTATCATGTATCTCAGGCTAGCCTCGTACTATCTGTTTGTCTAAGGATGACTTTGAAGTAATAATCTTCCTGTCTCTACATCTGGGTGCTGGATTTATATGGGTATGCCTCCATTCTAGACTCAAGCATTTTCAAGTAGCAGCTGTTTCTGGCACACTACTCCTGGTCACAGAAATAACAGATACCAATTTATAAATAATTGTGTTAAATAAAATGTAAACAGTTCTCTTACTTTCTGTTCCTGTTTTACATGACACCTATTGCTGCCTGGTGTCCTCCAAGCATAGCATAGCTGATGCCTCCTTAAAATTATAGACGCTGTGTTTCCACAAGGGAGACCCTCACAAGATTGTTTCCATTGACATTTCCTCCGCAAGGTGATGGAGAGCTTATGAGACCGCACGCGAGTTTACAAGGAGATTATAAGCCACTAAGTAGGGAATGATCAACCTTCCACTCATCCCAAAGCATGTGTAAGTAGTTAATTCATGCTTCTGGGGAGAGAGAATTCTGTTGGGTGTTTTAGTTGCCTAGAACTTTCTCAGGCTACTGTAAGTAAACTCACACCTGTGCTCCACTATGTAACTCCAATTGTTTCATGGAACTAGACTTGAGTGGGATTCCATAGGGTCTAGCTAGCCATGTACTCTGATACGGAACACACCCTGCTTGCATCTGCCCGAGGTGTCTGAACATTTAGTATATGTGCTGCCGAAGCGAGCACATGTCTGAACATTTAGAAAACAGCTTCTGCTACGTGGTTTAGAATACCAATATCATAAGCTCTCCACAAGGGTATTAGTGTCCAATGTGCAATTGCCTGTAACAATTCTATTTCTTCTGAGATCCTGCTGCACCCAAGGAGTGATGGTGAAGTGTTCCAAGCTGCCTGCTGCTATGTGGGGAAGACAAGGCAGACTGAGGCAGTAGATCATTTGGTAAAGTGCTCGAGCAGGAGAACCTGAGCTACATTCCCATAACCACACAGGAATTGCAGGCATGCTTGCTCTCATTTATAATCTCCGCACTGATGAGGTCAGGGTATGTAAGTTCCTAGGACTAACTGGCCAGAGCTTTCGTAGCCTAATTTGTGACCTCCAGGCAAATGAGAAACTGTCTCAAAGGAGATGGTCAGAGTTCCTAAAGATTTGCCTGTATTAACACATGTGTACACACAGGATGAATATATAGACAAACTTTAAAAAGACCATATAGATAAAGGGCAACTCTTAACACATTCACTTAGTCCTATAAAGTCTTATCCGGGAGTTTACAACAAAGACTTAAGGGAATCTCAGCACACAACACGTAATTCTTACAGGCTGTAACCAATCTTAACAGTATTTAGCAATGCTAAACAGTGTAAATTACCCCAGTACTCCAGAGTGATGTGAGTCCCTGTGATAGGTCTGCTGAGCAGCCTGTGTATACTCTTCAGTGTCCTACAACTAGAGACAGTGGGGTTCGCCAGGCTCTAACGTCTGTCTTTGTGAATGTTCAGACGCAGAGGACTTCTACATGGCCATATTTCCTTTATTTATGTCAAGTACTAGATACCTGATGTAGAATTCTAGGCCAAGAGTTACTCATCAACAATTCTCACCAAATTCCACTCCCTGCAAATCTGTCTGACACAGCTGAGCATGCCCCCTCCCTGGGAAGATACCTCACCAAGGCCAAAGTAATCAGCGGGCCTGCATCTTAGAGTCCCAAATGGACACCCACACATTCCCATGGGTTGTGTCCTTCGTGCAGGCACACACTGCTCATTGCAAGCTCCAAATGCTGTCACGGGTTGTATCTGAAGAGGCTCAACCCACAGTAAATGGCATTGAGAAGGCAGACAAGACAGGATGTCTGTGACTGACTAGATACATTGTAATCTGGACCGGGCCAGAAGAGAACTCTTCCAGGTCATGGGTCACTGCTTTGCCTCACTTCCAAAGGCTTGGACTCAGTCAGACTCTGCAGGAGCATGAGCACCATTCCCAGTATGGACGCTCAAGACATCACCGACTCGTCCCATCTGGGAATTGTTGAGGTTGGACAGGAAAGAAATGGTCAGTATACGGATGGGTTAGGTGTTCGACTTCTCTCTGTTTCTTTGCAGGTGACAGTGGACAGACACTTGGCAGCTCGGTCTGCAGCCTTCCCTGTGCCTTCGCATTCACCCCGGACTCCGATTCCCTGCTCACTGTCTTTTTGTTTCCTCCTTCTAGGAGCAAGTGTGTGGATATTCCTGCAGGGTGTGGAAGGAAGTCAGGAGAAAGAGGGTGGACAGGGAGGCCCCGTGTTGGGGGCCACAGCAGGAGGAGAAGGTGTAAAAGAAGAATTGAGAGATGAAGTTCCTTCTGGCAGTGCAGCCCTTGAGGATGGCAGGAATCATGGTGGCGGGAGCAGCAGCAATAGCCAACAAGAGGAGCCGATCCCTGGGAGCACAAAAGGCTATCAGGCTCTCCCGCGTCCAGCAGGCCAGCGGAACCACGTCCGCCACAGGTTCACTGCGTTCCAGCTGCAGGAGCTGGAGCGCATTTTTGAACGCAATCACTACCCTAGTGCTGAAGCAAGGTAAGACGATTGTCTTGTGCAGGGAGCACCGAGTGCTCCAAGGAGGCCTCTGGATCTCTCCCAGGCTCTTCTATAACCCCTCTTAAAATAAAATCTACCTGGAGACTCCAGGCTCCCAGTCTTCCGCACTTGGGTTCTGGGTGGTGGCGGGGCCAAACAGGAATGAAGATAGTTTCGTGAAGTATTTAAACGACTCAAAGTAAGGCTAGAACAGGGGTGAAAAGTCTGAGGGTGACTGAGGAAATAAAGGTTGATCTTTGTTTAAAATTTCACTGAATTGTGCATCATGTAGTTTCTACATTAAGTTGTATTTTGTAAGTGCATTGGAACATTTTTTTAAATCACTGATTTCATTGTTACTGTTGAATATTTTGCAGGGTGTGGGAGGGAGGATTCTTCTTAAAATTTCTACACAAGGAAAAAAATCTGCCTCTGAAAGCGAGAGAAAGTGTTGGCTATGGTGACAGTTGAGGCTAGAGGCTCACGGCAAGATCCAGGGTATCGTGAGCTATAGCCTGAAATGTGATCTCAATCAGTTGATCCATCAAAGCCACCATGGTAGTCCTTGTTCGGGAATTGGGAGGCAGAAGCATGAGGGTAAGAAGTTCAAGGTCATCCTCAGCTACAAGGCTCCAGGAGGCCTGTGCCAGGAGACAAAAGCAATCCCTCCCCCAAAGAGTTGAGATTCCAGAAGTACAGCTCAGCAGCTTGGCTTTTCCTCTCCTCCCACAATCCCCTATCCTTTCTCCTCCCCCTCCTTTCTCCTTCCACCACCCTATCCTCTCCCCCTCACTTCCTCCCTGTCCTCCTCTTCTGATGATACAGGAACTCACTCTGTAGCCCAGGTTGGCCCAGAACTTTCAGAACTTAGTTCAGCTCCCTCATTCTGGCAGGAAAAAGTCGTGAGACTTTTCAACATTGTTTGTGCCTGTTGCAGCTTTAGTATTTTGTTTCCCTGATAATCAGGTTGAACAACTTCACATGGTAATTGAACATTAGAAATTTCATTATTTTATTTTAATTTATCTTTTCAGTGTGACAAAGTTCCTAAAACCTCCTTTCCTCTGTGTATTTTGGTTCACAGGTTTTGTTGTGGTTTTCTTTTTATAAGCAGAGTCCCAGGCACTGACACATGCTGCTGTCAGTAACATTTCTATTTCTGTGATTTTCAAATTGTGCCTGAGTGTGTTAGGAACATATTCAGTTTTTCACATTTCCATCAGGAGCACATAGAAAATGAAATAGAATCATTGGTAGAAATATCTTTTCAAAGCCTTAAAGTCCTCAAGGTGAGTGTCACCAAAGGGAAGTGGGCCAAACGTTTAAAATCAGATGTAAAATGCCGTTCACATTTTCTGATTGAAACATCATGCCAAATACCGAACATTTGCAACTCTTGCCCACAGAAGGGAGCTCGCAAGATGGCTAGGTGTAACGGAATCCAGAGTGCAGGTCAGTAACTAGAAAAAAGACAGCATTCTAGTACATGCTTCAGGTCCTGGACACCTTTGTCCATTGGGTGAAGTTGTTGTGTGGGTTGTTTACTTCTCCCTATATGGGAAATGTGGGCTTTTATTTTGTGGCAGGGTTTCTCTGCATAGCCCTGGCTGTCATGGAACTCACTATGACACCAGACTGGCCTCCCTCACATAGACCCACCTGCCTCTGCCTCCAGCTGGGAAATGAGTTTTGAACTTTATCCATGGGAAATGGAATAAGAAAGTTCCATAATACCAAAATGTCTCATTTTCAGAGGGAACATGACTTCCTAAATAAAAAAAAGTATTAAACTGTTACAGAGTTCACGACTCTTGGAAGAAAACAAAACAAAACCAACAAAGACTCAATCTGAATTATAATTAGCTAAATATATTAAAGCTGCTAGCAGGACAGCAATCTCCGCGCCAAATTTGAGTTCCCATGTGAAGGGGGTTAAGGGAAGGATTTTAAAAGGTGAAAACAACAAGAAGACCCTAGGCACCAGTAAGCCAGGAGCTGTTCTGCTCCACTGTAGTCAAGGCAACCTCAAATTAGTCCTTGAATGTCTGCATAAACAGGTTGCAAAAGCACTTAGTCATATAATATCAAGTAGATGGTCACTGCTAGACATTTTTCTGTGTGGGGGTCACTAAGTCAGGTTTACTGGGAACTTATCTTCCAGTGACTGGAGTCAGTGACAAATGACTAGTGGGTGCCAAGATAGATGCCTAGCATAAAATCCATAAAATCAAGGTTCTTTAACCTTCACTGAACGAGTTTTATTCCTTAAACATAAGAGGACTCTGTATTATATGTATGTATTTATGAAGAAACTGCTAATACAATTTCTAAATTTCAAAAATGCACATTCATTACATGTACAAAGAATTGTACTAATTATGTAGATGTGTAGGATATACATACATATAAAGATATTTTCAACTCCAATTCTGGAGTCCTTTTAAGTAGCATTTCTATGTAGAGTCATATTAAGCTTAAGGTTACCAAATAACTCATTGAAATTAGTGCAATTTAGGGATTCATTACAATGACTTTTGAAATACTAAACTGCATTAACATTCCATCTTTACACAGGGAATTTATAAACATACAGGCATTGGAGTGCAGAATCACTTAATTAAACAAACTGGTGGAAATGAGGAAAGCCTCAATTCCCAATGCTTAGTTTTCTTACTGTTATGTCTAAGTTTCTGGAGAAACCATTGATTCACTTTAATTTTCTGACCCTCACTGATGTGGCCTGCAAACACCACTAACAAACTAGATTGTACATTCTAGTAGAGATTGACAAAGGTGAGCAATGTTGGAAATTTGTCCAGGAAGCTAAGCAACCTAAAACAAACAAATCTGGATGCTTTTTAAAGCTAATCTGAGGAAAGTGGAAATGCTAGGAAAGAAGGCATACCATGCTCACACTGCACACTGGGACTGTTTGATACCACTGCATGCGTCTATGACTTTTCTGGAAGGAAAATTTTGTGTAAGAATGTATTCGGTTTAACTTGTTGAGAGTAGAGAATGGTTGTCAAATGCGGTAACTTAAAGACTTCCATTTGCCCAGGCAGTGTAATTACTTACTAAGTGTGACGGCTTAGGAAAGCACAAACTGTACGGTGTGTACCGGAAAAGGCAAAGAGAAAGACGAGAGCATAAACTCCACCACGACGTCCCTAGCTTCGTTGCTCAGAGCCCCCTGCAGTACAGTAATGGAAATGCTCTGCAGATCCGATCATGATGTTTCTAGAATGTCAGAGCAGTAGAGAAGGCCTCTGAAGCTGTATCTCAAGGCCATTGGCCAGGATGACAACCAGGCATGGCTCATGTGGAGTTTCAGAAAGTCGTCTTCTCAAGTGAGTAAAGTCCCAGCTTGAGAACTAAGAAATGCACACTGGCTCGGCTGTGTTGTCCCTCTGAGGGCAAAGTGAGCTGGCCACCATAAATAAGGCAAAAGACAATGTTTCTATCTATCAAACCTTTCAACACATCTCCAACAAGCCTTCCATGGTCATCCTGTCACTCTTTTTGTTCTATCATCTTTAAAGTTGTGATGTGAAATCAGTAATATAAATAGCTGACATGCAACATATCTGATATTTGACCCACATGTTAACCTCTGAGTTAGAGAGTTGCTGTAGGCAGAGTGCATAGCCAACACAAGGGAGGCAAATGGAGTACTTTTGTCATGTTCCCTCCCTCCCTCCCTCCCTCCCTCCCTCCCTCCCTCCCTCCCTCCCTCCCTCCCTCTCTCTCTCTCTCTCTCTCTCTCTCTCTCTCTCTCTCTCTCTCTCTCTCTGTGTCTGTACTTGCTAGGTAAGCACTCTACCATGGAGCTAAATCCCCATCCTTACAGAATTCTTAATTCTCAGACCATGACAACAGGGTATTTCTATAGTGTGTTGCTGCCCACCAGAGGAGTTGTCAGGCCAGAAATGAACTATTTTCTTTTTTCTTGCATCTTTAAGCAGATACACAAGTCGAGAAAAGGAGCCTGGCTTGCTCAAGACCCTCCTTCCTGTGTAGATCAGTGGTTCTCGACCCTTTGGGGGAGTGAATCAAACGACCTTTTCATAGGGGTCACATACCAGATATCCTACATATCAGATATTTACATTATGATTCATAACAGTAGCAAAATTACAGTGATAAAGCAGCAATGAATTAATTTTATGGCTTCGGGGGAGTCGCCACATAAGGAGGAACTGTGTTAAAGGGTTACAACATTAGGAAGGTTGAGAATCACTGCTCTAACTCCTCAACACTTCTGTCTGGACTTTGTAGACTGTATACCCTGAGGGGAAAGACTCCAAATATGATGAGTGTCTAGGAAAGATGCAGCAAACAGGGAAAGTAGCTATTCACTCTCAAGTCAAAGCTTGGAAGCATTTGAATGGTTGGTTAATGTGATAGAACCCTCCTCAAGGGAAGTAGCGAGAGGACTGGGAAACTGTATGCCTGCCTTTTGCCATTCATAGTTCACTGAAATTTTGAGACTAGTCTTTCTTTGACATCCCGTCACAGAAATGACCAACCTACTCATAAGCTGTATCTGCACCTTCTTCTTGAAGAAGACATTGAAATATAATTGGAGTTGGGCATGGTGTCAAACATCTTCAATCCCAGCAATTGGAGGAAAGGGCAGGGGGATCTCTGTGAGTTCGAGGCCAGCCTGGTCTACAGAGTGAGGTCCAGGAAAACCAGGGTTGTTACCCAGAGAAACCCTGTCGCTAAAAACCAACATATGTAATTGGAGAGGAGAGTCAAAGTCTCCAAAACTTTGCCACAGGTCTAGTGCTAGGGAGATTTGCTAAAGGATGGGGTGTGGTGTTATCTGTTCTAGGACATTCTTCAAGGTCATTTTTGCAGTACTGAGGATAGAGCCCAGGGCCTCACACAGACTAACAAGCATTGTTCCCTCTGCTACACACTCATCCCCTCATGGAAATAGAATTAGAATTAGTGCAATAAGAAAGAAGGTTCTTTCATGGAAAGTAAAAATCTCCCTGGCATATAAACTTACATGATGTGTTCTTCAGTTATGATCCTGGCTATTTAATCACTAAGACAATCACTTTCTCTCTTTCATTGTAGAATTGGTTTAAAAGCAGGAGAGCCAAATACAGGAAATACCTGAAGATGTAAGTGCTCTGAGGGTCTCCTCGTGCTGCCCGCTGTACCTTTCACTGAAGATTGAGGAGGAGCCCCAGAAAACCACGCTTGCCCAGGAGTCAGAAGTACATGGGTTTCTGCTGCTAGCAATGCATTATTTGACCCCCCTTTCTATCTTACCCTTATCTCTTCAGCGCTTTTATTTGCAATAAAGTAGTGAAATCGCAATATATTTGCTTCATGAGTCTTTTGGAATTAGTATGATATGTATGTAATTTATCAATAAAATACCATTTAAATGGAAAGGCAAAGTCCTTTCCCACGAGGTGACACTGCTGAGGATATCAGACGAGTATCCCGAGTGTGAGAGTGGGTTTGCTCAAACCACTGATTCCCTTTTATCACCCCCATAATAGATTTGTTTGGTTTTTCAGGATTGGTGGAGAAAACAATGTTTCTTTTTCTCCCAGCATTCTGTTTTAGTGTGTGTATGCGGGGATTTTATTTTAGGTATGACACACACACAACTGATGAAAATTAAATCAACATTCTTTGAAGCTGCACTGAAGAAGAGAAAAAGCATCACCTATTGAATGCCTTCTAATTGTTTTGAAAGTTTCTTTGCTAACTAGTAAGGATGGGAACATTCACATAAAGCCATTCAGTAGTGTGTGTGTGTGTGTGTGTGTGTGTGTGTGTGTGTGTGTGTGTGTGTGTGAAGATATCAAAGGACAATCCTTGGTGCTATCCCTCATGTGCCATCCACTTGGCCATTTGAGACGCGGTCTTTCACTGAATTGGAACTCATCAAGTAAGCTAGACTGGGTGGTCTGTAACACCTAGCAATTAGCCTACTCCCACATCCCCAGCTCTGTGATTACAAGGACATGCTGTCACTTTTGGCTTTTAAGCATGACTTCCGGGGATTGAACTCATGCTCCTCTGTGTCCCCATGCTTGCAAGACAAATGCTTTAACAACTGAACTATCTCCTCAGCCCCAGTAGACATGATCACATGTGAGAGAGATCAGTTCTTACTGATCAGTTCTTACAGGAAGATGTGAAAAGGGACATCATTCAACAGTATCAGATTACACTAATCCTGAGCAGAAACATGCCTGTGGCATAGGATAGATTTCCTTTGTCAAGGCTGTAAACTAGACAAGCTTGTTGAGTATGTCAGGTCCCATCTGATAAGCCATAACCCAAAAACCATCAGCAGCTCCAGTGGCTTCAGTCTCTGCAACCGCCGAGGAAATAAACTGTATGTTGCCAGCACCAGAAGTTATCAACTGCTCCTGTTGGAATTCAGGCTCCCTGCGTATCTTCTGGTCTCCCTGGTTGTCATTATAGGCACGGGGATTCCTCTGTTACTATGTTACCAAAGGAGCTACTAGAATCTGTCAACGAGGAGCCTTTACTTTTCCTCTGCTCGCTCTCTCTCTCTCTCTCTCTCTCTCTCTCTCTCTCTCTCTCTCTCTCTCTCTCTGTCTGTCTCTCTGTGTCTCTCTCTGTGTCTCTGTCTCTGTCTCTCTGTGTCTCTCTCTGTGTCTCTGTCTCTGTCTCTCTCTCTCTCTTTGAGACAGGGTTTCTCTGTGTAATCCTGGCTGCTCTGGCACTCGCTCTGTAGACCAGGCTGACCTTGAGCCTGCCTCTGCCTCCCAGGAATATTCTTAAATACCTAAAGGGCAGTTAAAGCACAGCTCTAAACTAATGTTTACTTCTGTCTATTTAAAAGCCCTTGGTATTTGTGTCTATTGGGAGTTTGGTAGTGCTGTGGTTTCTTGGGGGATGGGGTGCACTAAGCCTGCCCCTTGGCAGACCAAGATCTGGACTGAAAGCGCTAGTACAGGGTCTTTGCGCTTTCATACTGGGATTACCAAAGAACAGGCTGTTCAAATAGTTAAGGATTGCCCTCTTTGTGTAGAATTCCTTCCTGTACCTCACCTGGGGGTCAGTCCTCGAGGACTTTTGCCTAACCACATTTGGCAAATAGATGTAACACATGTGCCATCCTTTGGCAAATTACAATTTGTCCACGTTTCTATAGATACTTTTTCCCACCTGATATTCGCCTCTGCCCACTCAGGTGAAAAAGTGAAAGATGTTAAGAGCCACTGTTTACAGGCTTTTGCTTACATGGGGGGTCCCAAAACAAATTAAGACTGATAATGGCCCCACCTATGTCAACAGAGGTTTCAATCACTTTTGTATAGATTTTGATATCTCCCCCAAACTGGAATTCCTTACAACCTCCAAGGACAGGCTATTGTGGAACGTGCTCATCGTACTTCAAAAGCCTATTTAGCTAAAATAAAGAAGGGGGACCTTGGGGGCCACCTTCACTCCCCTCACTCTACTCTATCACTTATTCTCTATATCTTAATTTTTTTAATTGTGAATGCTTCTGGCAACTCCGCAGCAGATCGTCATTGGTGGCCTGCTGTACAGCAAAAACCTCTAGTTAAATGGAAAGACCTGACCTCGGGTCTTTGGAGAGGACAAGATCTGGTTTTGGTTTGGGCCCGGGGGTCTGTATGTGTTTTCCCATAAGATGGTGAGTCCCCAATTTGGGTTCCAGAGCGTTGTATGAGCTCTGTTCCTGCTGATACTCATCAGCCGCCTATAGACTCATTAGGCTTTAATGAGGAACCTGCCTGTCCTGATGCTGGTAGGTCTTCAGTGTCAGATAATCAGCCTCAACCATAGCCTAGGAAAGGCAGCCCTCAGGATGGACTTGCCTGCTTGGACATTTGCTATATTCAATTAACACTCCCTCGGGAGAAATGTTTAATTATCTCCTCCAGGAATGCCATTTGAGAAGCTGTTGATCAGCCTTGGTGGTCTGTGTCCCAGGGGTCATGCCTATTCCAGTGGAACACTCAGGAGAGAACCAACTCATCCTCACACGACACGGGAGTGACTTTGACATCACAGTGGCTGCAGTTTTTGGCTTCCCTATCTCTTAGCCAGTTGCCACAGCAGGCATGCTGGATAAACCCCCAGAGGGGATGCCTCTACCTTAAGTTCCCAAATTTATACTAATTACAATTGGGCACTTTAAATTTTAATTGGCTATTCTGAGATCAGGGTGCTTCCCTTTTGGGAGACCCCCCCCCCTCTTAATGGGACTGCAACAGTCAGGTATATTACTTGAGAAATGGAGTGGGTTGCTAGCCCTTGGGATTATGACCCTGGGCAACACAGTCTTTAGCCCTAGTTTACCATATGGAAAGGCCACAAGCCCAGTGCCATTTTCTTACAAAGCAGATCATAATTTCCTTGTGAACAGATAATCCCTCAGTGCAGGCCTGATTGAGCCAGCAAGACAAATGAGTTATCAATGACAGGTATGTCCTGGGGTCATCTACCAACCTAAGAGAGGGTTTGTGAGGCCTGGACAGACTTCTCATTGATGGGTAAGATAGATGTTAATATCCCGGGCTACCTAAGCCAGATGCTCATTTTTTAATTATATATAAAAGGGGGATTTGTTGCACCCTTCCCCCCATGGGGGGTCTGTTGACTGCTTGTTACTAGGGGCTTTTAGCAAAACACTTCTCATCCCCCTCCTCTCAGTAAGGCCTGCATGCAAGTTCCTGTTTATTATCTAAAAGCCAATTCCTGTTTTTGGCCCACCCTTTGCTGGAGGGCCATGGGAAGGTAGGCTTCTGACCGTGGTGTTTTTCCATCATGCCTGCCTTTGGTATATAAGGCTCTACCCTTGTAATAATAAATGTCATTTTCCTTGTAAGAATGAGCCACTGTCTTTGTCTTTATTTTCATCCTTAGTCCTTAGCCTCCGATCGTTGTGAAGTATGGTAGCACTGTAGCTGTGAACACACCAGCAGCTCGCTCCACTGGATAGCTGCAGGTCTTAGTGAAAATCATTCAAATTTTCATTTCAGTCAAAGTTGTTTTACAATTTCCATACCAAATTTTGGAATGTTCTTAAAATCAAGGAGAAATGTTTCATTTTTGAGTTGTACGCATTGGGAATTCAAGTTCACACTGGCATCAGTTTACATACTACTTAACTTTGTACTCCATCTTTAAAAGTTGGATGTGTCTACTATATTCCTTTTTAAGATTTATTTATTTGCATATTTTATGAATATGGGTGCTTTGTCTTCATGCATGCATGCATAGCAAAAGAGGGCATTGGGTTCCATTATAAACAGTTATGAGCCACCATGTGGTTGCTAGGAATTGAACTCAGGACTTCTGGAAGAACAGCCAGTGTTTTAAACCTCTGAGGCATTTCTTCAGTCCCTAGGTTCTTTTCCTTGCTTTAATTTGCTCCAATGGCTTTGTGTTTCCCACAATAACATGTAAGCAGATTTTCTCGTTCTGCTTTGCCTGGTATAAACCACTGTACTGACTGAGTGTTTTAAACAAAGTGCTACAGATTTGAAGCGGTTGAAAATGTCCACATAATAATAATTGCTGGAATATTTGCCTTTCATTTTAATGAATAATACAGGGCTGTCTTCCAGTGGTTTTTTTCATGTCCCATCTCTATTATCTATACAAATATGGCAGTGTATCTAAAATATTTCAGTATCTCTTTGACATGGTTATATTAATATGCCTCTTAACTGCTACTGAAATAAAACAAATCTCTTAACTCATAAAAAGGAAACCACTTAACTTCAGTATGATATATGTGTTTTATTTTCTGAGACAGTGGCTAAAGTACTCTAGACTGACCTTCAATTTTCTATGTAGCCAAGGACACCCTTGAACCTCTGATCGTCCTGCTTCCACCTGCCCAGAGCTGGAATTATAAGTTTGCATCAGCATGCCCTATTTTTGAGGTGCCAGGGAACAGACCCAGGATTTCATACATTCTAGACAAGCACAGTCTCCTAACATCATGTTCCCAGACTTTAGTACGAAGTAAATATACATTATCAGGTTGGATTATTAAAGTAGATTAGCATAAGGATGTCACAAGGTTTGTTTATGCTCAAACCCTCTTGTAATGACAAATGTGATTAAGGCAAGGAATGCCTATTATGGGGACCTAGATTGTTTGTGGCTTGTCATGCCTGGAGAAGAAAAGAAGAAAAGTATGCAAGTCCTGCACACCACTGTGACATTTTTACCTATATTGTTAAGGATAGTTGAATCAAGCCTTTCCACACTCACAGAACTGCTCAAAATCATTTGCTTAAGACAGAGTGGTGAATGCCTTATGATCTTAGTATGTTGAAGGTAAAGTG